ACAAAGATGTGTTACAAGACTGTCTTGAGAAACAAGACAGTTAAAACATCAAGAAAGGACGCTGCAGGAAAGGAAAGTTGTGGTGTGTGCTGTGTTGCTCTCTGTTACATTTGGTTGGTTATAAAAAATGAAAACTAAATATTGATCTAGCCAACGTTATGATTTAACTTCCTGGGGCAAGGGGAGAGATGAAGAAAACATGTTGCTCTGGAAGTCAGTGGAGTTTGGGTTTTAGGGGCAAGGGTGAGTTAAATGTTTTGTTTTTTTTTAAGATTTATTTATTTATGCATACAAGAGCTGGGGTACAGGCCAGAGGTGTGGGGGGGTGGGGTGAGAGGATTTGCCAGAGACAGAGTGGGAAACAGAACAGGCAGATTGACCGAAGTACACTGCTGAGAGGGGCAGCGGGCAAGTCAGGAGAGGTCTGCTACACCATGTGGGGATCGAACTCGTGCTGCGGAGGCTATGGATAGCTTCATAGGTTGCATCTTAACCCCTTGTGCCCTTGTGCCACCAGGGAAGCCCAGGATGCATTAAATCTTTGTCTTGAATGGGAAGTCAGTAGATAATGTTTCAGATAAAGCTAATTGCATGTTTTGTTTTTGCAATATGGAATTTGAAATCAAGTCATAGAAAGGAAGTGTTTCTGAGGAGGGGGTGCTATTTTCACTCTTTATGTACAATACATTGTGACTTTCATAAAAATAAAAACTATATTTAAAATGTCCACAATGATATAATTAAAAGTTACTGTCCTCTTTAAGTAGTCTTAACATGTAAATTCGTAAATTTTTTTATAGATAATTTCTTGTCAGCTTTTGCTGTTCTTTGCTCTCTTACAAGTATACACTCCCCAACCTCATCACGTACAGAAACCTGTCCATTTTTCCAGCAACTTCTGCCATTCTGTCCCTCTGCCCCTTCCTTCCTTTGGGAGTTTTCTTCTTACCTCTGTAGTGTTATCTGGAACTTTCTCTGGACCCCTAGCTCTTGTTCTTTTCTCCCCTCCCAAGGGTCACTGTGTGGGCAGCTTATCTTTCTGAACCACAAGTCTGATTCCATTCTTTTCAGTCTTCAGCAAATGTGACAATGTAAAGTGCAGTCTAAACGTGATTCCTACATACCAGCAAGCCCTCCACGTCCTTTGCTCCCTCCATGTGCCCCTATCTCCTCAGCCTCTGCACCTCAGGGCTCATAGCGTCCTGTTCCATGAGCTTCCCTGTTGCCGGCCGCCCCCTCACTGACTCGCCATCTTCCATGCCAGTTGTCAGTCCCCAGTGTGGGCCATGTGGCCTGCTCTCTCCTGCGTGCAGTTAGTTTTGTGCTTCTATTCCACTGGGAACATGAAGAGAAAATTGAGATTGTGCCTTATGTCTTACCTGTAGGATTTAACTTAGTATATGGAACAAAGAGAATATTTAGTCAGTGTTTTTAAACAAAGGAACATACAAAGTCTAACAAAAAGGCAGGGAGGGATCCTGTCCCATTTCTTAAATGCCTTCTGTGCTTCAGCCATCTCGGACTTACGCATGAGTTATTGACCCACATCTAAACACTCTATCCTCTGCTTATCTTTACTGATTTCACTGTTTCGTGCTACGACTGAGGAAAACTAAGCCAGCTCCCTCAAACCATTCCAGAACAGTTGTGGGCCATTGAAACGTAGAGACAGAGAAGTCAGCTCTGCATCATTTGGAAGTAGTTAGGTTGAGCAGGAAGTGAGCAGGAAACATACTACCTGGTATCTGTGCCTCCTTCCCAGAAGCCCTGCCCACAAAGTAAGCACTATTAGCTGTTTATTATTACTGAAAAGGTCTAATCTAAATTCTTATTCTGTCACATCCTTACTGTTTTGTTTTTTAAAACAGCTTATATGGTCCTCTTTTACTTCCTCTAAATTTGTCAAAGTTACTCAAAAGAACTTAATACTTAGGTTCTGTGGTTGTAAATGAAAAATACTCTAAAAGCACAAATTTCTATTGCTTCTAGATGATGGCATTTTTCTGAAGGCAGGGAGCTAAAGGGGAATAAAATATTAGATCCACCTATCTTAGGTTTTCAACTGGGACTTTTTATCAAAAAGACAAATTAACAGAGAAAAATAAACAAGTTTATTAACATGTATCCCTCATGTACACATGGGAGATACTTAGGGAATAAATGAGCAACTCTCAGAGAAATGAATTCAGGATTAAATACCATCTTAATATAAAAGGGGGAGAGGGATGGCTCTTAGGGGAGACAAAATGATTTTTAGGAAAGATGAATGAATAGATGGGAGGTCTGATAGTTTGTGACAAAGTTGGGGGTATTTATGACAATTGCATTCCTTTCAGAGGATTTATCTCTGTTAGATAAGAGAAGTTCAGAGTAAGTCTCTCCCTACATTGGCTGTTTTTCAGATACATTCAACTCAAAAGAACCAACATAGCAAAGCAGTATATTTTGGGCTGTCATGTTCCACTAGCCTTCAGAGCTATACTTGCTAGCTGTTATATTCCTAGTGCCGGTGCCTAGCACAGTCTCTGTGTACCCCAGATTTAGTAGATGCTCAGGGAAAGTTTATTACACTCAATGACTAGATAGATAGATGGGAAAATGGGAGAAAGAATGTTAGCTCCTTCATTCATTCTGCAAGTAAACTGTTAATGTTAGTTGACTGCCTATATATTTTATGACCTCTGATAACTTCAGACATTCTGTCAAGTTGTCATAAAATAGGATTGTTGCTCCGGTCCCTCCAAATAAATACCTATCTCTGTCAGGCAGTTGTAGAGACTGGGTTATGCACAACTTCCAAGCTGCTAAGACTCCTGCACAAGAGTAATGATACTAATTTACTATTTACAATGACTCCTCAACTCCATTATGTCATTTGACTTTCAAAACAATGGCCTTACAAGACAAAGCTGCATTGGAGCGCAAGACCCTGCCACTAGACTTCCGGTTGTCAAGTCTTGCTCTGTACCAAATTGCTGTATGATTTGGACAAGTGACTTAACCTTTCCAACTACCTATTTTCTCATCTGTAAAACAGGGATAATAATTATACCCCTACAGTATATGGTCACAGAAATTAAATCAGTTAATGCAGGTAAATTTCTTAGCATGGGTGTTGTGTTGATCTCAGAATTCAATATTCATTTGAATATCGAATGAATCCCAGTGGGCATAGCGTCAGAGCTGTTCAGGTTACACATCTATCCTGTACTTAGATTTCTTCAGGGTAAGGGCTGTGTTTTGTTTCTCTTATATCATCTCCTAACATAGGGCCTGACATGGATTAGGAATTAACAAATAATCATAGAATTGGATGAGGCAATCACGTAATGTTTTTGAAGTCAAAAAGAGGAAACCATTTCCTACCTCTCTTACCAAATATACACGAATTCTTCCTGGGTCAGTTACTAATGTATAATCATTTTGGAAGTTGGGAAAATAACCTTTGAGTTGCAAAATAAATTTATTATCTAGGTTTTATTTACTTTCAAAAAAATCCTGCAGATGCAAGAATTATACTATTCGCAGTGTCCTAGCTTTTAGAATTCTAGAGATAAAAGGACAACAGGTAACTGAATGTGAACATGACAAAATGAACAAATAAGGAAAGAAGAGTATGAACAGATATAGAAAGGGTAGGGTAAGTGAGTGCTTTACAAATGAAAGCAGATGTATGAAATTACAAGCTGTCAGATCAGCAATGGAAATGAAGATGATAAAGTGGTTCCTCACATAGATTATAATTATTCATTTTGCCCAGTCCTGTCTTCTTTCCCCATAATGTTCCTGAGAAGTTGGGGGTGGGAAAGCTAAAGCAAGAAACAGAGTTTCCAACAGAAGAAAACACAACTCTAAGAATCCAGGGTATTTCTGATCACAGAGTTGTTTATTTTGTGATTTGTATTGTTGCTTTTGCATTAGGTACTTTCCTATTGAATGTTTTTCAGCTAACTGCTCTGATGAGTGGAAACAATTCCATGACAGCCCAGGAAGTTGGGCTGTAAAGTTTCTCCATCAGAAAGGCTGCGGTGCAGACAGGGTGGCTCACAGACACAAGTGTCGTGAATGGCCCAACTGTGACAACAGTGGCAGATGGATTGCCTAGAAATGAAGTGGTTTACATGGACCTGCCTGAAAAGATGTGTTTAATAATGGCACCCATAATTAGGTTGATTTCAAACAAGGAATTAAAAGGCAGTCCATGAAACAGAGATTTTGGCATCCTCCCTCTAAGAATCCTATGTAGATACTCTCCCCCAATTTCTTGTTACCTTTAAAAAAAATAATTGGGGGGCCTCCCCAGTTGAGTACCACGCTGTGAAGCTGTCCAAAGCCTCTGCAGCACGGGTTCAATTCCCACCCAGCCAGGGAGAAACCTACATGGCGCCGTCTGCCTGTTCTGGTCCCCACTCTGCTCTGGTGAATCCTCTCACCCTCCCATGCCTCTGACCTGTACCCCAGTTCCTGTATAAATAAATAAATCTTTTTAAAAAAATAATTGGGGAAAATTTATTTTCTCTAATTTTGAATATGTAATATTCATATACATATAAATATAACATGTAAGTTATGCAACATAATAATCAAGATAAATATTATTTTATGAAAATTTTAAACTGGTTTTATCACATAAGATTTTTGTTACTAATTTTTAAGCAGCAAAACTTGAGACATTTAAACACCACCATATAAATGGCAATAAATATGCAGGCTTCTAAGAGTTTATTTATATTACAAATGCACACACAGATATCTATATGTGAGGCTCTTCCTTCCAACACCCCCTGCAGATCCATGCTAGTATATTGGATTGCAGTTAAGAGTACAGTGTGTTGATTCAAGGGCCATTTGGTAAGAGTCCCTTCTCCCTGTTTCCTTTATCAAATCAGCTAGGTTACTGGTTCATGTTCTTTGATTCTAAGTATTTTTATTTTTTACTCTGGTAATGCAAATATTTTAAACAATATTGCTTCTGAATTATTTTTCTTTCTCTTATTTAGTGATCTCTAGCAACTATCAGACCTGTCTCGGCCTTCTGATGCATTACCCAATCATTGGGGATGTACATTCACTGATTCTTAAGGCTCTCTTCCTTCGAGATCCAAAGGTAAGCTTTCCGATTAGGATATACACAGTTGGTTAAAAATTTGTTTTCTCTGTGTGACTCCAAGAGTTCCTTATGTGGAATGTCTAATGGCATATGAATTACCTCGATTTGCCTAGAATTGTAGCCCAAAACTCAGTTACCTCATTGGCTATCAATTCAGCAGGCAGATTAAGTGGACACTGTCTTGAGAAACTGAGGCACACAACTTCTGTCCTCCTGCCTTCCTCTTAACTCAGGGAAATAGTTGAGCAACTGATCCTTATAGCTACACTTCATTATCATCGCTACTCCTCAAAGTGGCCGACTTAACCAAGTAGAGTTTTGGGAGCCATATGAAGACCAAGACTTCGGAACCATGAAAAGTTCCAGTTTTATAAGAGCTTATGATACAATGCAATACTAAATTATTTGATATTATGAATATGTTTCTTATGTTATAGTGAAGAGTAACCTAATAAAATAAAGATTTAAATATACTCTAATGCTGGTTTTTCTATTTGAACTTAAAGCAATTCACCAAAATTTTCTTTACACTTCAGAGAAAAAGTGTGCTCTTTTACAACTAATGTTATATTTCTTGAAAATAAGAACATTTAATGATCTAAAAAAATCTGTGAATCCTTGATGCTTTTGAGCCAAACAAAAATATTGGATGAAATTTAAGAGAGAAAGCTTCAAACACGAGTATGAGTGTGCCAGGCACGGGGTGGTAATCCCAGCCTTTGGCTCTTTGGCGAGCTCCCAACCGCCGTGTTGGCAGTTGTCGAACTGTCTTTGAGTCAGTCTGTCTGTGGATTCCATTGCCAAAGCTCTGTCTGATCGACTTGGGCCTCCAAGTTCAACATATATTTTGATTCTAAAGGATTTCTGCCCTTTCCTTGCTCGTTGACTTCACAATTGAGTACATCCTTTATTTATTCTTTGATTTATTTAAAAGAATTTATTTCCTTGTGCCTATATCCATTTTCTGTATAAATATAAGAATTTATATCATTTCATTTGCATGATGCAGTTTCATTTAAAAAATTAACTATCATCTGTCATTTATCTGCCGCATACAGAAACACAACAGTCTATGAAAATCAAAAGTTCCATATTCTTTTGTTTTAGCTGTTTATGTAAGTTGTATAAATTTTTTTGTAAAAATAACCAAGCCTATGAAATATCTAGAAAAAGAATAAAGACTGAGGTTGCTGATAAGTAAGGTGAGTTTTGACCTACAAACTTACAATATGGTCTATCAGTTCAGCCTTAGCAATTTACTTAGAGTTGTACCTAGTGGAGAAAAGTTGCAAAAAAAGCAGTTTGAATTTTCTACTTGTGTGATTTGTTACATTTAATCGAAGGGAAATGAATATGCTTCTAAACTTACTGATCTTGATAAATTTTCCCTAACTAAATATGGTTGATCTTCCTAGGAATCATTCACTCTTCTAGTTGAAGAATCCTATATACTAAATCCATCAGTGCTATTAGTGGAATCTGAGATTTTAATACCATTTTTTATCTCAATCATATAGTATATATAATGTAAGAGTATAGTGAAGCCAGTTCTACAAGCATTAAAAACATATATGCCCTGAAGTCTAAGAGGAAAAAAATATAACGTATCTGAAAAAAGGAATTCCCACTTTTATTTTCAGGGCCTTATGAAGTATAAAAATATGATTCAGATAATGGTTCAAAATGTGGGACCTTATGCTTCCTTTATATGGAGATGCAAGAAATAGGCTAGAAAGAGAAAGTCATATTTAAAAGTCTTCAGAACAACTTCATGGAAAGATAATATCATTAAGAAAAAGAAAGAAAGCTCTGTAGTATTAAGGGGCTTTCAGATGACTAACCCAGCACAGTGATAGTTTTAGTTAAGTGTATATAGTAGCTGACCCATTAGCATTATTTAGTAAATGTCAGTGATAACTAATGGCACGTGGAACATGTGCTCATTGTGTTTGCACAGTATAGTGTCCTACAGGGAGCCTAAGTTAGGAATCAGAGCACTGCATCATATCTTGCCTCTGCTGCCAGCCATATTTGTGAGTTTGGTAAACATGTGCTTGCAGTGTTTGCATCTTCTCTTGTGTGGTTGAATTAACTTGCCTCCAATGACCCACCCAACCAGAACACCCCCTGTCCATAAAGAAGTCCATATGACTTCTAATGAGCTAACAAGATCCAATCCAGTATTACAAAATATGAGTGAAAAAATATATACCAAATTTATATAAATTCTAGAAATGCACAAGAGAACAGAATTTCAGTATTAATGTCAATTATTATAAAGTCAATTGGAGGACATTTACACTGAGGGGGGCACAAAAAGGGGAGGAAAAGATGATGTTGTTACCTCACCCACATCTTCCAAAAATCCAGATATCACAGTGCTTTAAATAATGCTTTAATATGATATACAAGTATTCTGTGATTCAAGTAGATCACAGTAAGTAAGCAGACATACATGTCTCTAAGAATTGGACTGGTAGAAATAGGAGATTTGAAGCATCAGAGTACCTTGCCTGTATGCCAGCTTCATAAGACAGTAGTACTGAGTGCTATTGACAGACGTAAATAAATATAAACAGGAACTTTAAGCCCTCTTCCCACCACCACCACACACACATCCAAGTTCATGTTAGTCTTCAGTAAAACACTTTTTCCTGCTATTGTTAGATCTCGTGGAGATTGCTCAGTTGAGAATAGACTCTTCAAGTAGACTTTGGACACTGAGCTCTAATTTCTAATTATTTTATTTCAGATCTGTGTTTTACCATGAAAAGATTTCTCATAGGAACAGGCTGAAACAGTGGACCTGTAAACTGTAATAACAGGATCATATTCCTCTACAGACACCTTGATGTTCTTCATTCAGTCCTCACAGTTAGATTTGAGGGGGACAGAGCAGATTACCTTTCCTCACTCTTTTTCAACGTGGAGGTTATGTGGCTTTCCCAAGGCCCCAAATCTTATGACCCCACGCTAGCTAGAGTGACCCCATGTCCCTTGTATCTATTCATCCCCTCCTTGAGTTCCCAGCATTCATCTCACTTCTCCAGGTAGCCATTTCAGGCGCAGATAGAACATGTTTTCCCATTTGAGTATCACAGTACCTTGTACTTTAGCTATTTGCTTATTTATCTTATCGTGTATTCCTTCTTATGATCCTAATCATTTTTCACCATTTAGGTTTGTGTTTTGCAGTGGGGTGATATGAAGAAAATAATGGTAGAATTGAATCTGACTCAAATGCTAAGCCTCTTCTGTTAATCTCAGTAGAACTTACTATTTCTAGAACCCATATCCACTTCCACAGAAGCCATAGCCATATGTATATTTGTCTGCTGCCATTTTCACCAAGTTGGTAAAATAACCCACACCTTGAACTTAAAGAGCATCTAGTTCTTTAATTTACTGTGTCTGAATTATTTAAAAACACCTTCAAATATGATGGAGTATGGAAGACATAACAAAGAATCTAGTTAGTATGCTCTACTCAGATTGTCAGAAATTCAGAACTGCAAACAACCTGGAGCATCTATTCTAGGTTCTCTCTAATCCTGATGGACAAACTGAGGATCAAGGTGAAATTTCAAGACTTATTCACGTTCACACAGTTTGTGAATGGCAGAGGTAGAAAGTTAACCCATGTCTTCCAGCACCTCTCTACACAAGAGCTGTAACTGCATTAGTATTTAAAGAATTGGAATTCTAACTACCGATATTTCTCGTAAAAAATTCTATTTGCATTACAAAAAATTCTATTTGCATTACACATTTATTTGCATCTGTAATAAATGAACTCATCACAAATATAAGTGGTCTAAGAAGTATTTGACAGTTTAAAAAATGTATGCTGTATGAAAATACTAGATGTCAGATAATCTGGTTATAGCATCCTGTACTCCATTCACCATCAATACAGTTTTTTAGTTAACTCTTCGGACCACACTCTTCATTGTTAGTTTCTTTTCTTTATCAATATTAGAACTGCTGCGCAGATTTCCAAAAACAATCCACTAAATGAAGTAGAGGGGTAGAAGGAGGACAGTATGAAAAATATGAAGTGATTAAAAAACATTGTTCTAACTAGTTGTTCAAATTCAAAAAAAAATTTTAAAACCCAATTAGAAACAAAAGTCATAGAAAATGTGAACATATTGTGTTCCTTAAATAACCAGATGTTCACTCGTTCCTAAAGGCAGTAAGGGCTAGGAATAAAAGGTTTAAAACTATTGTTTTAAGTTAACTGTGAATTTTGCAAATCTGTTTTTACCCTTTAGCAAATAAAATTCTAATACGGAAACATAAGCAAAGTAATTTTCATTTTTCGGTGCTTTCTTATTTGTGTTGTGTGTTGAAGTGTTAACCTTATCACAAAGACTTATTACCAATGAAATACAGTACATGGATTAACATTTTAGATTCTGCGGTAAGAATTTGACAACTACCGTTTGTTTTGGAGACTAGAATATTCAAAAAAAATATTTCTGGTAAGTGTGTAAGCAATCCTCTTAGCGGTGACTGTTATTGTTTATAGGAGAAAATTGCTAGAAATAAGACCGTTTAATTTCGTAGTCATTCTTGTACAGAAAGACATACTATAAAAATATAGCGTTCATTGCTCTTATGCTTGGCCAATTCTGATTTGGCTTTTGTTTGGAATTATATTAAATTGTGCCGTTTTAAATTATACGAAGTCTGAATAATCAGATCTTATACAGTAATATGTTTTTATTCTTTGAATTCAAAGAACTCCACTGTACGTGTAACTTTTTAAAAGTGTCAGATGGTTTTGGTAAAATGTGATATATCAGCATTGAAAAGTAGCCACTGGATTCAAGCCTCCCTCAGTTGGGGTGTTAGAAGTGCTCCATTGCGGGGATCCGTTGTCCTTGTTTTCCTCTGAACAGCAATGAACCTAAAAACCACATGTGCCGACTCTTTGAGGGCGATGCACAATATCCATTTATTTGCCATTCACGATACTCCCGTCAAAGGTTCTA